GACGCCCAGGGGCTCTGTGAAGGCTGAATGACGTCATCTTCAAGCATTCTGTCTACCTGCTGTTGTATCGCTTCACGTTCTTTTGGAGCCACGCGATAAGGGTTCTGGTGAATAGGTCTCGCCGTTTCCTCGGTAATTATTCGATGCCTGGTTAGAGGCGTGCGGGCAACTCTTGATGTTGTTGAAAAGCAGTCTTGAAATTTGGCCAGTAGCTCAACAGGCGCTAAATCAAGATTTAGCGACTCGTCGACTACCGCCGAGCAGCCTTCGGCATCTACGACATAGTCGAAATGAGTGACAGCCGTGCTTTTAGGAAGGTGCTGGCGCTTAGCACTAAAATTGGTCAGCAGCAAGTCCGTGCGTCCAGCAGCAGCTCTGACGATACCTCGTGCGACAGAAATGCCGTGGGCGAAGAGCAGCGAAGATATTCGGTCTGCAACTCCTTCGCCGTCAAACTGAGCAGCGGCGGCCGCAGAAACAAGCGTGCATGACCTCGGAGGGAGAACCACATCGTCATCAGTAAGACGCAGTTGGTTTGGTCGCGCCACTGGAGAATTGGGTAAACCCGAACTGTTGCAAAACGTAATCAAGCTCTCTGGTATGTTGATGACGGCACCATATTCCCGTAAAAAGTCCATGCCAAGAATTACGTCTCTGCAGCATGCGGCGATAACGATGAACGATGCAGTGAAAGGAGAACCTCCGATGTCAATTCTTGCGGTACATCTTCCCGAGGGTATCAATAACTGGCCTCCTGCTGTTCTTATATGAGGGCCCGTCCACGGCGTCTTCACTTTTATGAGGCTGTCGGCGAGTTCCTGACTGATAATAGAGAAGTCGGCACCAGTGTCGACTAAAGCTGTTACTTTCTGGCCGTCAAGAAGAACACTAAGGTCAGCAGTAACAATTTCATCGTTTCCACGGCTTATGGGCTTTATGACGTCATGCTGTGGGGGCTTCTTGTCGTCATCTTTATGGCCTGCAACCTTGCCCACGGATGTCACCGCTCTCAGTTTCCCCGGTGCGGACTAGGTGACCGTCTTGCATTAAGGTCCGCGTAGGTGCGGCGGTGCGACAAAGGCGAACGCGCGGGGGACGGAGAGTGGGATCGACGTCTCGGACCAGGAGTGTGAGCAGGCATTGCCTTGTCTGCAGTGGTAGAGCCGTCCTGAAAGTGAGAACGGGCTCCATAGAAAGAGGTGTCGTCACGGCGCGGAGTGTATTCGTCGTTGGCACGTCGACCGTCAAACCAAGGTCGATGAGGACGGAATGAATCACCTCGATGCCAGCAATGACGGGCAATATGTCCTGCACCTCCGCAGTGAAAGCATAGTGGATGTCTGTCCACCGTGCGCCATGCATCTGTTTTCCGGGTCGGTGGACGCGTCGATGCCCATGAGGTGGCTGTGGACGGCTGGTTGTATGGCTGTAGCGTGGGTGGTTGATGCAGTGTCTGCTCTTGCGGCGGATACGAAGGGGCCATCGGCACCTGGTGGTACAGCGTCGGCATAGCGGGTGGTGGACGTCGGAGAGCAGCAGCGTAGCTCATAGGACGCTGCTGAGCATCAGGACTAGCCGTAGACAGATTTTGTTGAGCCATTGTGCTTATACGACGTTAGCAAGAACTGGATTCAGAGCATCCAGTATTTGCAGTGCACTCTTAACAGACGGAGATTGTATGCTGCTCAGTAACGTGCGAATCATGACAATTAATGATTGCACGATTGCAATCACTTGCCGGTCTTGGTTGGAAAGATCTCGAACCGGGATCGCAGGCTGGCCGTCATGGAACTCCTTCCGTTCGCTTGATGCTGCTTCCCTTTGAAGTGCAGGCCACTCTGTCGCAGTTAGGGTATGCTCACTGGCTCTGTCCTTTACAGCCTTTCCCACAGCATGTGGTCTGGGAGGTAAAGGAGGCGGTACTGATGAGGGATCTGGCAAACGCATCGAGGAGGTAGCCGGCGTCCTTGAAGACCGACGTCGACGTGAACGACGCCTTCTGACTTTAGCTGCGGCTTCTCGATGAGATGAGTGATCGCGCACCATCTCCTTCAAGCCGTATGAATGTCTTGTATCAGAAGCTTGGTGGATTTTCGTCGCGTACGACTTCAGCGATCGACGCGATGGGATTTTCAGCAACCGGATTCCGCAACCTCTGCAGTCCTTCGCGAAACTATCTCCCCTAATCAAGTCTCGCAAGCAGCTCTGATCTCAGACGTCATAGCGATAGCATGATTGGGACCATTGAAGGGACATGCGGTCATATTGCCTGCAGCGTTGATGAAGGGCCCGCTCGATAGTCGTAGACGAATTCTGTCGAAAGTCGGGCAAGCTGAAGATTGCCTTCTCTATTCTCATTTACCAAGTCCGAGCACCGTCTTCAAGGTAGAATAACCACAGGCGGCACAGTAAAGTTGCATCCTGGCGGGAGAGGTCCGATAGAACTTGAACCTTTCTCGATGGGTTCAATTTGTGCCAGGAGCCAAAACATGTCAAATGCGCTACGAGTGGGTGTTCCGAAGGCCCGCCCATTACAGAGCGCTAAAACATTTGTTCGCGTGTTGCTTTACGCACGCGCTGTGGGCTCCTCAGCGATTCGCAAAAGTAACAGTTATGACGTAGTTGCCACTTAACTGCTACCATAGTTTGAAACCACCACTATAAATGCAGCGATACCGACGCTATACCCAAATATTCAGAAGGTGTTTCGCACAGTTATACCATGGCATAGCGTAGTCAGACTCTGTGCGAACCATGCATGCATGCATGATTCGCACAGAGTCTGACTACGCTGTGGCGTTCTACTTTTGAAAGCGATGCTCAAGTGTCCTCCAAGTTTTTCAATTGTTGTGTGTGTAGCTGCTGTGTAATTGTTGTCACGCAATATATATATATATATATATTATATATATATATTATATATATATTATATATATATATACATTGTCGCAGTACACCGCGAATAAAACACAGATACACCTTGGGACGACGAAAGCAGCGTATGCTCAACAGCTGAGCCACAAGATCGTCTTCTTCGGCCTCGAGAGAAGCTAGAGGCCCACTACCTCGTGCCCACTAAATGCCCCATCATCGTTATCGTCCACTTGCATACACGCGTCAATATATATATATATATATATATATATATATATATATATATATATATATCTATATATATATATATATATAATATATATATATATATATAATATATATATATATATATATATATATATATATATAGATATATATTGACGCGTGTATGCAAGTGGACGATAACGATGATGGGGCATTTAGTGGGCACGAGGTAGTGGGCCTCTAGCTTCTCTCATCCCCTGATGAAGGGAGGACCCCTCCCGAAACTGTTGGGAAATAAATATATATATAATATATACGTTGTGACCGCTCACGGAGGATCTACTAGACTATATATATATATATAACACTCAGCGGCGGTACCTCTGCGACATTCACCAAATGCTGCCGCAGGTAACAATAACAGTGGAATGAAATGGTAACTTTTATTTGCTCGACAATATGAGCACTCGAGTAACATGCAAGCCTAGACCGGAAGTTTCTTTAGGATCGTCCGTCTACAAGCCCGTCACGGCATGGTGAAAAAGACCAAAGCTACAAATATGATCTCAAGCTGCGCATAGAAGTTTTTACCTTGGCCCTTGCAACTGTGTAACCATGCTTACAAAATAAATAAATAAATAAATAAATAAATAAATAAATAAATAAATAAATAAATAAATAAATAAATAGGTTGCGTGCGCAGTCGTCATTGCGGTCGTCGCTGCTGGAGCCCGGCGCAAAGCAAGTCGGCGTACCTCGTTGCAGATAAATCTCGCTGGGCTTCATGCAGGATAAACACGTTTTCGTACGGAAAACTGTGCCGTACCAGAAACAGTCTCGAGACGGGGCGTGTAAACAGAGAATTTCAGCAAGCTACGGACACACGTTACTGAAACACGACACGGTCCCCTTCCGTACGCGCGTATACAACGGTCGCACAAGCGCACTCGACAGCCGATTCCGTGTTGCCTCCTTTCCGTAACGTGTTTTCGTAGCTTGATGGAAACCTCTAATATAGCGCACAATTCACGGCAACCACTTGCACGTCGCCGCCGATCACGGCATGGACTGGCAGCGGCGACAATGTCTGACTACAGCGCCATTAGTTCTCGCGATCACCACGTGGCCCGCCTCTCCGGCAGAGCTTTGAGACTGAATTGATTCTAGTAACGTTAGCCCTGTCATCGGGGACTAGCTCAATATGGTCCAAGGGGCTGAAAGGCGAGGGCTAGCGGCGTATAGTAGAAACCCCACCACACGGCGTTGCACTGTATAGAGGCAACGAATAATTTTTGCGCAAATAACGATTAGATCTTCTACACCGGGTAAGGTAAAGCACATGAGTTAGGTTTTACCTTACCCCGTGTGGAAGAACATCAAATTGTTATTTAATACAACTATGGCTAGTGTATAATATGACGTCAAATAGTAATGTGCTAGAAAAGAAGGAACACCAGTTCTCTGGGCCAGCTGCTCCTATTCTGCACTCGTCTTCGTCTTCCCTCCCCTTTCACTCACTCTCCGCGTGCTAGAGCCTCAATGCTACTTTTAGTCATAAGAAAAACCATGTTTGGGTGATGTGGCTTTCAATAATATACTCATCTTACGCTTCTTGAGCTACAATAACTGCTTATTTAGTCCTTTGATGCATGCCATAGAAGTAATTTTATGCTACGTTCGTTTTCGACGCAACAACCGACATAGAGCAAGTCACATTCGAGGTTAATTTTTTTCTATCTTTATTCTGCGCTATCACAACAGTAAGGTATGCTACATACTCTATCTTTCTTGGCAATAGAACCTCGATTGATTTCATTATAATGTGTGGTTTCGAATACAAAGGAAAAAAAACGGAATGCTTTTCTTTTTCTAAGTCACCCGCGTGTATTTATGAGTCTGCATGAGAGTGATTGAACACGTACCATATTTGCAAGGACACGCTCCATCATAAGGGGGTTTGTATTCGTCTTCCGTTGTTTCTGCCGCTTGCTCATCTTCCCGGCAAGAGATTTCATTGGTATTTTCCGGAGTGGAATATTCCTTAAGAGTTACGTTCGAACAAGGTTTGCTTTCACCACTCAGTGGTCCACACACTGTGCCAGCATCAACGTTGGGACGAAAGCAGCACAGACCAGGACCACATTCGTCGTTGCCGTCGCAGGAATCACCATCCTAAAGTGCACATGAATAATAAAATTAAACGGTGAAGTTTGTCACACAGTACTGACGGGATGATTGTGAGGCGAACACCCTGGATGCAGCTGAGCAGTACTACACCTTCGCAGCTAAGCCAACGTACAAAATATAAACGTGAAGGAAGCAATTAACTTGATTTGTCAGGGCCTGTCGCCACATGAAAAATCTACCCCGTCAGCTTAGAAGTTGGCACTGTACCAGAACGTTGTTACCACTGTTTTTTTTATTTTTCTCCAGTACCGACCATTTGTACTGGTTCAATTTTTTCACCGCATGCTTTTAACGAACTCAATCATACAGACATTAACAAAGAACACAAGCGAGTACAAAAACAAGCCGGTGTCTCTTTCGTATTTGGATGTGTATACGCGTATCTACAGTTGCTATTCACAGCGCTGACATGTCTTCTTGTCCCAGCTCACATACGGTTTTAGAAAATAACTTATAGCTACAATGAAACACTACCTCTAGTACAAACTTATGGCACTCGGTTACATACCTTAGATTAAATACTCAGGTATCCCAGCCTGGTTACGTCTAAAAAAATTTGACATCCTATCAAAACTAAGGGGCGCAACCGAAACAGGTTACAGTTTTAACCAGGCGCTATGGAAAAGACGGAACTGCATCTTTGATTGCAGAGCAATTTAGGCTTCCAGGCGGTCATATGCTGTCGTATGCTGTCGTGTGCTGTCGTGTGCTGTCGTCGTCGTTCAGCGTAACGCTCCATATTGAGTGATATGTGGGTTTTAACGTCCCAAAAGAGAAAAAAATAAAAGGAAGAGACAGGGAGGTTAACCTAGAAAAACTGGTTTGCTACCCTGTACTGGAGAGGAGGAATAAGGGTTAAAAAGTGGATATAGAGATATATAAAATAAATTATAAAAAGTTCGAATCACACACATGCAGGGCATTCCAATCACAGTCGATTCGGACAAACCGGTTGAACGCAAGAAGCGCAGGAGCGCCTTTCACAGCCTTTTTCTGCGACATCAAGTCCTGTCGGTAGCGCAGGATTCTTTCTTCCGAAAGAGTCTGGTTGTCCAGTTCGTCTGGTGCGTTTCAGAGTGACTGTCTCTGCGAGCAGTATTGTGGGTATTCACACAGAAATGTGCCAAGTTGTTTCAGTCACTGCCTAAATGGTCGCATGCAGCAGTGTCGGCCGTTCCAATGTGGAACGCGTACGCATTGGTTAATTCGACACCCTACCATAATCTGCACAGCATAGTAGCGAATCGTCGGCGAAGTTCTGGAGGAATCAGGAGACTGAGATTTGGGTCTAAGGTACATAAACATGCATGGGTGAAACGTGACTCGTTGCATTGCAACGTGGTGCACTTGCGAGCAAGCATGCGGAGTTTCCGTGCAGCGTCAGTTCTGGAAAGCGGAATCGATATTTCATCGCTTTCAGTATTGGCAGAACGGGCAGCTCGATCAGCCCGTTCATTGCCAATCATTCCACAATGACTTGGAAGCCATTGAAAGGCTATTTAAGTCCTTTCTCAATGAAATGGTGAGTATTTTCTGAAATCTCGAATACCAGATGTTCGTACGGGCCGCGGTGTAAAGGTGATAGAAAGGATTGCAGTGCCACCTTTGAGCCACTGAAAATTGTCCGTTTTTGTGGCTGTTGATCGCTGATGAATAGCAATGCGGCACGAAGAGCTGTGAGCTCTGCTCTCGTTGATGTCGTGACGTGGGAGGTTTTGAATTTTCTTGTCGTGTCTTTTATTGGTATAACAAATGATGCTGTTGAACTCTTCTGTGAAACAGAAGAGTTCAACAGCCTTGATACATCCTTGATACAGAAGTGTATACAGCCTTGATACATCTGTATAACAAGACCAGAGCAAGCTGCCAAGAGCAGGTGTCGACATATCTGCTTTTTTCTGGATGCCAGGCATAGTTATCCTGATGTTAGCCTGAGTCAGGCAGCGGGTGTGAAGCGTGTTGGCAAAGATTCGCGATACGTGGTCACCGTTTGGCGAAAGGACAAACGTGGTCTGCTTGCTGGTAAAGAGGCTAGGTGGTGGCAGGGTGTCCGAGCGATATGCCTTATATGTGTCCTGAGTGTCTCAACGTCAATATGTGTCGTGATGAGGTGGTCACCGGCAATTGCTGTAGAAGCTATTGTCGACGCCCTACGAGGTGAGCCGAAGCAAATCCGGAGTGCCTGGGACTGAACACTCTGTAACGTTCGTAGGCTTGTTTTGCTTGCATTGATCAATGCCGCTAAGCTGTAGTTCAGGAAACAGAGAAAAAGTACTCTGTACAGCTGTAGCATTGCGCTGGGTGACGTTCCCCAAGTTTTCCCTGCAAAGAACTTCGACAGATTACGGATGTCAACTAACCGTTTTTTTTTTCATGTACGAAAAGTGATCGCTCCATGATAGCTTCCTGTCAATTATGACGCCCGCAAACTAGTGCGATCGAACGTATGGAACAGTTTGACCATTAATGCTTATGGTGTACTTCTTCAAAGGCTTTCGTGTAAAAGCTACGAGGGCGCATTTCTTGGAAGAAATTTCCATGCCTCGATTTGGGAGGCAACGTAATGTTTCAGCAGCAGTTTTTTGAATTCTCGCTCGCAACTGCAGGCGTGTTACAGCCAATGCCCAAACGCAGATATCATCTGCACACATTGATAGCCTGAATGTGCTTGGCAGATGCTCAGTGACAGCAATTAGCGTAAGATTGAACAGCACAGGGCTGAGTACGCCACCCTCGGGGACGCCACAGTGGCTGTAATGTGGAGAGGTTTGCCCGTCTTGAGTGCTCACAAAGAAGGATGGCATTGACAAATAACTACGTATTCAGTGATACATCCGACCACCTACTCCTACATATTCGAGAGCGGTGAGAACGGCTTCGTGCGTAACGTTGTCATACGCCCCTTTGACGTCTAGAAACAAAGATGCGCAGAGACACTTACGGCCTTTCTCGTGTTGGACGTAAGTTACCAGGTCGATTGTGTTGTCGATCGATGATCGATCACGCCGAAATCCTGCCATGGCATCTGGGTAGATGCTGTTGCACTCCAAGTACCACTCCAGACGTCCCAAGATGATCCTCTCCATAACTTTGCCTACACAACTGGTCAATGCGATCAGGCGATAGGATGAGAGTTCCAACGGTGACTTTCCTGGCTTCAGAAGTGGAACTAGGCGACTTGTCTTTCAGCTTTTCGGGAGCGTCCCATCTTGCCAGAATTTGTTGTACAACTCCAGGAGCAGGATTCTCGCGCATTCATCCAGATGACACAAGGCCTCATAGAAAGTTCTATCGGGCCCTGGTGGCGACGTGCGTCCACACAAAGCTAGTGCTGCTCCGAGTTCAACGATGGAAAAAGGCATATCCGTGCGATAATCCAGTGTTTGTGGACAGTTGGGCGAGGGCAATAGGCTATTGGGCACTGCGAGTGGCCCAGGTAATCTGACACAGAAATCTTTTGCCACGTCAATGTCACGTCGCTGTTCAGAAAGTGCGAGAGCACTGAATGGTGACCACTGAGTGGGTTTTGTGCAGAGACCTCATACCGTCTTCCACAATTGTCATAAAGGTTTTCGCGGGTCAAGCGGCTCCCGAAAAGCAGTCCAACATTGTGACTCGAGTTCATCTATCCGGCGCTGTACCTTCTTCTGTATACGTCGAGCGACCCTTAAGTCTTCCATTGCCTTCATGCGTCGGTATCTTCATTCAGCACGCCGTCGGATTGCTCGAAGTCGTTCTATATCGATGTCGAATTCCGTGACTTTGGGAGAGCATGTGAGGGTACACGTAGTGTCGTGTATTTGCTTTTCATTATCTCCTCTTTGGCAAGGGATCTGTTTGCTTGACATTACTCATCCATGCGAGACTGCAATTTCAACCAGTCCACTCTTTGAACGCTATCGCATATCTTAGCACGGGACAATCCTTCAATTTTGACGTAAGTGTGAATGTGGTCACTTCCATACGTTCCTATGTCTGAAAACCCTTCAGCATGCTGGACGAGGCCTCGTGAGACAAAGGCCAGGTCAAGGCAGCTGCTATACTTAGAACCACGCAGAAACGTTGGACTACCGTCATTTAGCAAGAAGAGTTTGTCGTCTGAGGCGAAGGACACCAACTTTCTCCCTTTAGCATTAGTTTTCGAATTTCCCCAGATTGCATGATGAGCGTTGAAGTCGCCTTTTATAATGCATGGGTGAGGTGTTGCTGACAGGATACCTTGTAGTCTTGTGTGGTAGAAACGGCTTGACGGAGAGAGGTAGGCACCCACAACCGTGCATGGTAAGTCTCTTTTTCTGATATATATTGATTGTCGTCATGAGGTGACACCGGATGATGAATGTAGGTGAGGCCGTGGCGAATAAACATCAGAACTTTGCTATTGTCCGCAGTTGTAGACGACATGAAGGACTCATAACCAGAAAGTCTGATTTCATTTGGCAAATTTGGCTCGCTGATGACAATTATGGGAATTTATTGGTGTAGACGAGCTGATGGAAATCGGCGATGCGTGATCTCAGTTTCCGGGCATTTCATTGAAGAATCACTGCTTTTCAAGTGCTGCGAGTACTGGACTTAAAGTGTCCAGTAATTGCAATGCACTTCTAGCTGACGTTGTGTGCATGTTGCTTAACAACAAGCGAATGTTGTTAATTAATGGTCGCAAGAAAACTGTCACTTGATGATCTGTGTTCCGCAAGTCCTACATCGCAGCAGTTTGCTCTGAAGAAGATGGCTTCTGCTGCGGTTCTTCTGCGCGTTGTGTACGCGTTAGTGGCGCCAACTTTTCTGTGGAGACTGATCTACCACTTTGCTCTTTTTCAACGTCTGCGTTTGCAGTGCTGGAAACAACAGCTGGCGATTTTTCCTGATGCCTCGACTTACTGCCTGAAGTTGGCGCTGTTCGACGTGAAGACCTTCGACGGCGACGTCGTCTTCGCCGGATTTTTTCAGCGGCTTCTTTGTGGGCTGAGCTG